CACACTACCTGTTGCATAAACAAAACCGAATATTTTACATACTGTATTCACCAAAAATTATAGGAATTAAGAGACTCTAAACTTTAAATAAGTTTGAATTTAAAGTTTAGAGTTTAACTTTGAAATTTCTGAAGGGCCAATATAAGAGCTAAATAGTAACTACATTAGCCAGTTTTCCAGGTGCTGAAAATGGCCTTTCACCTATATTGTACTTTGCTAGGCATCACGTACATCTGAGATATTCTTCAACTTAGCCTTTCTAAAATTTACAGGTGAATACAAATTGCTTTATTGCTAAACTATTTGGATTTGATGATCTCAGATAAATCTGAGACTCTTTAATATTTTTAATAGTAAAAATACTCAAAGAAAAGGAAATCACCAATTCCATGTTGCTTTAGTCCAGAAAGACTTGTTTTGAAAGATGGGGGGACAGATTTGAAAGAGCCTTCAGATGAATAAAATAACTATTTATGAATTGTTTTGTTTCTGGTATGATAAAATACCACAATGGGACAACAGAATAGTATTATCTAAAGCTAAATGATGTCAGGCTTTTAAACAATAAGCTGTAAGGGTCGGGAGCTATGCAATTATCTCAAACTGTGAGCTTTACTTTATCAAATATTGGGACAAGTATAGTCTTGTAATGAAATGACAATGAGATTAAATCACATCCCAAAAAATTCACACTTACAAGACTTAACAACTTTTTCACACTAGGATCATTTCAAACTCTACATTCATAAAATTCTATCAATGCAGTCATTATACTCTGGTTAAGGCAGACTTCAAGTAATCTCAACTCAAAAAAGTTAAATATTAATCTAGTATCAAAAGCATCAATTTTACCTAAAAAAATGATTTTGAACCCTGACGAAATAAGCCTTATGTGGCTATTAAAACAGAATTACTGAAGTCAGTATGAGTATATGGAGATGGTTTTCTGTTCAGAAGCTACAACGCCTTGTGCAAAGACCCCAAAAGGTCTTTAGAGACTTCTTCCACAGAGAAACCAATTTTCTTGCTTGACATAGCCCTTTCTCTAAAGATTTACCTTATAAAACGTGAACTTATGCCATGACAGGGAAAAGCATGTTCTAAGATTTAAGATTTCTACAATCCTTTGCATATTCAAGACCACAAAAAGTTGAGCTTTAATAATTCATAAACTACAAACACACCCTAGTAAGATTTTCCTCCACGGGATCCCCAGGGGTGTAGAGAAGCTGCATAGTACGATCTAAAAAGGACACAGATGTTAAGTGCTCTTCACCCTCTCCCGAGAGAGCTCCTCACCTAAACAGCCAGTACAATCCCTTCTCTGGGGCCACAAACAAAACACTGAGAGAGGTAACTGTCAAGCTTGGGGAGACAGCGCAAATACAACTAGAGGAAGACTGCAGTTGAGCGCAGCTTCTCCAGTATCGCGTAACCAGCCTAACCCGCTGCAAACTTTTTAGAGATTAAGTTACATTCCAGGGCAATTCCACCCTTGACAGCTGCCTCTGGAGATGCCAGCGAGTGGTGCGCGTCCACTCCCGCCGCCGCAGCCAGGAGAGCGGCCACATCCTCCGGTCGGCGTGCACTAGGATGAACTGGGGGCGGAGGGGGCGCTCACCTTTTCCAGCTCGTCGTGGAGCTCCGCCAGGCTGGGCCGGAGGAGCTTTTCGCCCAGCTGGGCAGCTGTGTGCCGGTAGTGGTCGATCCTGGGCACGGCGTCCATGGTGTTGTGGCCAAAGGTTCGCAGGTAGTAGGTGTTGGTGTGGGTGTCATAGTAGTAGTGCTGGTGGTGCCCGCTGCCGCCGCCGCCCGAGTGCAGGCTGCTGCCCTCGCTCAGCACCGTGTCCCCGCCGGTCTCTGGCTG